AGAAAAAATATAAAATACACTAGCACTCCATAGAATAAAAATGTAAAATAAATAAATGAAGGTAGTTTTGGAAAAGAATATATATATATTTAGAGTATGTGTATACACACATATACACACACACACACCCCAAATACTTTGGCTGATCTGGGAAGCAGAAAGAAAAATAAAAAACCCAGCCTGTTTAAACCTGCTGCTAGGTATGGCAGATTTCTGCTTGAGGAGGAGGCTGATGTGAAAAAACAACTAGGAATATTTGCGTGAAGACTCTGCTCCCATCAAGTTCTATGAACTGGTTTTGAGCTCTAAAAGTAATAGGATGGAGACATAAACTGGTATAAATGATTTTCATAAATGAGGTGGTGAGATTGCAAGGACAAATACTGCTTTAAGGTCTTCTCTCACCTTTGAAACACACCTCATGTCTTGAGATACTCTGCCTCAGAATTCAATCCATTAATCTGGGCTATATATCTGGGAATGTTAAATAACCTCTGGCTCCTAAAAATACTTGGCTTAGGGATCTCAACACTTCAGTCATACAGGTCTAGGTAGAAGTTGTCTATAATCCTCTCACCAAAGAGGGCATTAGAAATCAATCAATGGCAATAATCTGCAAATCTCTTTTTCTGTTACACTGCAATAATTAAATCAGTGTGATCCTAGGACTCTGCAGTAGAGAGATATATAAGGGAATACAGAGATCAAAAATAAACCCAATAATACATTTTTTATTTTTTAAAAATTCTTGTATTTATTTTTAGTTGTAAATGGACACAATATTTTATTTATTTACCTTTATGTGGTACTGAGGATTGAACCCAGGGCATCACACGCACTACGCAAGTGCTCTGCCACTGAGCTACAACCCCAGACCAATAATATATTTTTTAAAAATATTTTTTAGTTGTCAATGGACCTTTATTTATTTATTTTTATGTGGTACTGAGAATCTAACCATTGCCTCACACATGTTAGGCAAGTGCTCTGCAACTGAGCCACAACTCCAGCCTCCAATAATATATTTTTAAATGAATATATTGTTTTGATTTAGATGTGAGGTGTACTCCAAAACTTCATGTGTGAGATAATGCAAGAGGATTTAGAGGTAAAATGATTGGGTTATGAGAGCCTTAACCTAGTCAGTGCATTAACCCCCTAATAGGGATCAACTGGGTGGTAACTGTAGGCAGGTAGGATGTGGTTGGAGAAGGAGGGTCACTGTTGGCTTTGGCGTTTACATGTGCCCTTTTGAGTAGTCTGTCTCTCTATGCTTTCTGGTGCCATGTCCTGAACTGCTCTCCTCCACCACAATCTTCCCACTGTGATGTTCTGCCTCACCTCTGGCCCAGAGCAATGGAGCTGACCATCTATGGAGTGAGACCTCTGAAACTGTGAGCCCCAAACTTTTTCTCTTCTAAATTGTTCTTGTCTTTCGGTTACAGCAACAAAAAAACCAAATAAAACATATTATGAGGGAGGCATTACAAATCAGTAGTGAAAATATCTATTATCAAATAAATGTTGCAGGAAAAATTGGTTAACTACTTGGAAATTTTTCTCTGTAGTTGTGTTTTGTTTGGCACTGGAGATTGAACTAAGGGGTTCAATCACTGACCCACATCCCCAGCCCTTTTTAGTATTTTATTTAGAGACAGGGTCTCACTGAGTTGCTTAGTGCCTTGCTTTTGCTGAGGCTGGCTTTGAACTCATGATCCTCCTGTCTCAGCCTCCTGAGCTGCTAGGATTACAGGTGTGCCCCCCTGCACCTGGCTACAGCTGTGTTTTTTTAATTATTTTCAAACACTGGATATTAAAATTTTCCCATTCAATAGTTTAATATAAAAAATCTAGGGGCTGGGGTTGTGGTTCGTTGGCAGAGCGCTTACCTAGCATGTGTGAGGCTCTGGGTTCGAGCCTTAGCACCACATATTAAAATAAATAAAATAAAGGCATGATGTCTCCATCTACAACTACAAAAAAAACTTTAAAAATTTTTAAAAATCCAAATGTTATGAAGTATTAACATTTTTAAAAGATAAAACATAAAAACATCCAGAAATATAGGCATAGTGATCCATAGTTTAAATATTTCAGGTCCTTCTAAGTAAAAACAGGATTCACAAAGAATAAGATACTTAGACTTGAAAGATATTTTAAATAATTAATATATGAAAATTTCTCAAATCTGATGAAAAATACCAACTTAGATATATCACAGAAGCTTAGCAAACCACAAGCAGAATAAATAAAGATCAAAACTCATCAAAGTACATTAGAGTTAAAATGCTATTTTTCCATATTACTTAGATTAGTATGTTTCTTCCCCACTTCTTTAGGTGGTTATGTTATTCATTTGTAATACAGTTAATTTGTCACAGTGTGTATTCTGCTTTGAGATCATACACACACACACACACACACACACACACACACACACACACACACACTTTCCCCCCCACTTCTTATTTTTAATTATTACTTTTAGGGGGCAATGTGAAACATAATCATGATTCTAAGAGTTAGAAATCCAAAAAGGTATACTCAGAGAAGTGTCACTCTTCCCCCTCATCCCTTCCACCCAATCTCCACTCTCCCATTCTTTCTACTCTGTACCTACCCTCTGGGTAAAAATGTCATTCATTTCCGGTTTATTCTATAGGTTAATCCTGTATTTATTTTTGTACTAATGAATATATATACATATCTTCATATCAGGGAAATATTTCTTCAACTATACAGGAAGCTCTAACCATAAAGAAAAAAAAAATTGTACCACATTAAAATTAAGAATGTCCACTTAGGGCTGGGATTGTGGCACAGTGGTAGAGCACTTGCCTAGCATGTGAGGCACTGGGTTCAATCCTCAGCACCAAATAAAAATAAATAAAATAAAGGTCCATCAACAACTAAAAAGAAAAAAAAGAATGCCCACTGATTAAAAGACACTATTTAAAGATTTGGGGAGGGGTTAGGGGATGTAGCTCAGTAGTAGAGTACTTGTATAGCATGTACAAGGCCCTGGGTTCAATCCCCAGCACCACAAAAACTAAAATAAGCAGGGCAGGATGGTACATGTCCGAAATCCCAGCAACTTGAGGCTAAAGCAGGAGGATCTCAAGTTTGAGGCCAGTCTCAGCAACTTAGTGAGGCTCTGTCTCAAAAATAAAAAGGGCTGGGGATGTGGCTCAGTGGTAAAGCACCCCAGGTTCAATTCCCAGTACCAAAAAAAGAATACTGTTCCCTTCTTTGATAAAAATATTTTGTTATATTTTAAAATCATCTGTAGAATTTTTTAATGCAGATTATAAAAAAATTCAGAGTCTGAGTAAATATCTCTGGGCTGGAACCCAGCCATCTGTGGCCCTGAAACTCCATAAGTGGCTCTGATGAAATGAGCCTGGATTGAAATACTACATCATTAGTAGAACAAGCCCTGTTTCATTTCTTCATTACATTTCTTGCCCAAAACATTTTTTTGCCAAAGAACACAAAGGACAAGCCACTATCTTCAAAATGCAACTATCTAAAAGAATGAAAGTGACTTCTACCCACTCCCCATTTCTCAGGTTTGGCTATTTCACCATTCAAAAAGCATCTATGGATCAGTAAATGCTTTAATAAGTTTCATACATGTGTACTCAAATCATTCCATTAAAACAATCATTCTTTCACCACTTTGAAGGGTGTTTATAAATTATTTAAAAGATGCTCCTAGATACCATATATGTTTTAATTACAGCAAAAAAAATGATTAGCCCAAATTAAAGAAAAATAAGTTTTTAGGTCTGGCCTCTACCATAGAAATAACAACAGCAGGTCTTAATTTGGTGAGAAATACATGCCTTGCAAATAATTATAATATTAAAATCATTTTTGAGGGCTGGGATTGTGGCTCAGTGGTAGAGCGCTCGCCTAGCATGGGCGGGACCTGGGTTTGATTCTCAGCACCACATTAAAAAATAAATAAAGACATTGTGTTGTGTCCATCTACCAAAAAGATATTCTCTCTCTCTCTGAAAAAAATCAGTTTTTAACCACACCTATATCACCTGTCTTTGATTCAGAATGACTAGATAGAGACAGATTATAGTGTCTTAGTCTGTTTTATGCTGCTATAACAGAATACCACCAACTGCATAAGTTATAATGAATAGAAGTTAATTTGGCTAAGGGTTCTGGAGACCTGGAAGTTCAAAATCAAGAGGCCATGTCTAGTGAAGGCATTCTTGCTACATCATACATAAGTCATAACATGGCTAAAAGTATCCCATGGTGAGAGACATGTTCAAAAGAGATGATGGCTGAATTCATACTTTATAAGGACACCACTCCAAAGATAATTAACTCACTCCCAAGATAATGGCATCAATCCATTCATAAGGGCAGGACTTCCTATGACATAATTACTTAAAGGTCCCACCCCTCAACACTGTTGCATTGGGGATTAAGTTTTCAACACATAAACTTTGGGAAACACATTCAAACCATAGCAAACAGGAGAAAGAGAGAAAAACACAGATATGTTGGGGCCAACTGTATTTAATCTGCCATTTTCACTGAGATCTACTGCCTGAAATACTCAAGATATTTTTATTTCTCAATACAAAATTTTTGTGGGTGAAAAATGAGATATACTTTACTAAGCTACTATTGTACAGCAAAGACTGTAGTTCAAGAGAAGGTATTCAACAAATGCATGGTCAATGAAATCTAATTCAGTTTTTTGAAAAGTGAAAAAATTAATTAATGCTGATTTAGCAGATACCATCAAGAGAAGAAAAAAGTCAGTTGAACTGATTTCACTAGTTGTTAATACCATCAAGAGAAGAAAAAAGTCAGTTGAACTGATTTCACTAGTTGTTAGGTGTCACACAGGCAAGAGAGGTAGGCATCTTTTTAACTTCTTAGCATTCTCCCATCTTCAGGATTTATATTTCTTGATGAGGGCAATTCAATATTTAATGGTCACTTTTGAAAAGACTAAAGTTTTTGCTTACCTGGATCTTCCTTACGTGCTCGTGAACAGTTTTCCAACATGAAGGTAAAGAAATTGGATAACTGAACAAAATAAAAAGATTAATCAATTAATGAACCCTAAGCAGCTACTGTGACAAATACTGTTGGTAGTCTGTGCAAGTTCCTTACTCTTTTGGGGAACTCATCTTCTAGTTGCTTCATCTACTAAGGGTCACACCTATCCCTGTCCTTGAAGATGGGCAACACTGCACTCAGAGTCACCAAGGATATTACATGGACATCTCTCCTGGAAGGTTGCCCACAGACAACAACTGGTTGAAACAAGAGTGTAACAGCCCAGTCCCCTGCCTCCTGACCCCTTTATAGGACAAAGTGTGATGCATTTCACACTTGAAAGCTCCTGGTGGGATCAAGCTAAAGTCAGACTTCTCTAGAAAGCACATTTTTGCTTGGCTTCTTCTACCATCATATCTTGATTTTTTTCCACTGCCTTATTATAGGTTTTTTTCTGAAAATATTCTCTCAATAAGTCACTTGTACCAGAATCTCTCTCTCAGACTCTGCTTCTAGAAAGTCCAATCTAAGACAGCTACTAAATTTTGTTGATTATAATCTCCTCTTTTCTCTTTAGTGGTAAGATTAAATAGTGCTTAAAAAGATAGCCAACACTGTGAGCTCCTAATCAGGGAAAAGGGAGCATCTGATTGAATTCCAAGAGGAAATATAGCAATTTAAATATTTTTGAATTTTTGATTTATTTTTAAAAATTATAACATGATACATAAATATGATTGTTAGGTTAGTCCTTTTTTCTTTTGTTTCCCCCCTAGTACTAGGGATTTTGGGAATTGAACCCTGAGCCTTCACACATTTGCCACATGCTCTATCACTGAGCTACATCTCTAGCCTGAGAAGTCCCTTCTAACACCCTTTCCCCTATTTATTAATATCACTCTTGTCCCCAGAACTAACCCCTATAAACAATTTGCTATATATCTTTTTCCAGAATTTTGCTGTATATTTAAATTTTTTTAAGTGGGGTTGAACCCAGAGGTGCTTAACTGCTGAGCCACATTCCCAGCCCTATTTTATATTTTATTTAGAGACAGGGTTCTCACCGGATTGTTTAGGGCCTCACTAAGTTACTGAGTGAGGTTGGCTTTGAACTCTTGATTCTCCTGCCTCAGCCACCTGAGCCATTGGGATTACAGGTGTGAGCTACCACGCCCAGCTGTATATTTAATTTTCTTTCACATATATGGGATAAACTCTATATACTATTCTGCAGGTTGATTTTTTTAAAATCAATAACTACATTAGAGATCATTCCAAGATTTTTTTTATTGTTAAAAAGTTCTCATTTTTAATGTGGCATTTATACACAATGGAGTATTACTCTGCATTAAGAAACGACAAAATCATAGAATTCGGAGGGAAATGGATGGCATTAGAGCAGATTATGCTAAGTGAAGCTAGCCAATCCTTAAAAAACAAATGTCAAATGACTTCTTTGATATAAGGGGAGTAACTAAGGACAGAGTAGGGACGAAGAGCAGGAGAAGAAGATCAACATTAATAGGGATGAGAGGGGGGAGGGAAAGGGAGAGAGAAGGGAAATTGCATGGAAAGGGATGGTGATCCTCAGGGTTATACAAAATTACATACAAGAGGAAGTGAGGGGTAAGGAAAGAATAATACAAGTGGAAGAAGTGTTTTACAGTAGAGGGGGTTGAGAGAGAAGAGAAGAGGGGAGGGGAGGGGAGGGGAGGGGAGGGGGGATAGTAGAGAATAGGATAGAGAGCAGAATTCACCAGACACTAGAATGGCAATATGTAAATCAATGGAAATGTAATTGATGTAACTGATGTGATTCAGCAATCTGTATGCGGGGTAAAAATGGGAGTTCATAACCCTTTTGAATCAAACTGTGAAATATATCAAATTAGATGTAATGTTTTGAACGACCAACAATAAAAAAAAAAAAAAGTTCTCATTTTTAAAGTTGGGCATGGTGGTACACACCTGTAATCCAAGTGAGTCAGGAGACTAAAGCAGGAAGATTGCAAGTTCGAGACCAACCTCAACAACTCAACAAAGAATAAAAATAAAAAGGACAGGGGATATGGCTCAGTGGTAAAGTCCCCTGGGTTCAATCCTTAGTACCTCCTCCCTCCCAAAAAAAAGAAAAAGTACCCTTTTTTTTTTTTTTTTTAAGAATCCTTATACAAGCTTTTAGAATGTTCACAGATTTGTTCCCTGGAAATTCTTCCATTTTTTTAATTCCTTAAAATATTTTTTCCCTTCATAAAGCAACAACTTTTCACTAGGGTATATCCCCAAAAATAGATTAAAGCTATTTTTATTAGTTAGCTAGACATCTGGCAGCCCTTTGGAAAATGTGAACTTTGAGATTGAAAAACACCATCCTCTTCCAAAACCACACACTCTCTCAACAGCTAGTTCTAAGCTCTATTAAAGCTTCCTCAACTTAAAATTGACCCAAACTCATTCTTTCAGTAACAATGAATAAAGAGAAATACTTTACAAAAAAAAAAAGGAGATACAAGTTTGCAAAACAGACCTGCATTTGACCATGTTCATCAGCATATTCGATGGACTGGAAGATGGCAAGGGCATAGTGTTGTCTGGCCTTCAGCCGAGCTCTGTAACCTCGGTACCAGTTCTGGATGACCAAGGTGGCTTTTAACACTACAGAACCGCAGGATATAAAAGCCAGAGAAAAACAGTTATTATGCAGCTCTTAGAGGGAAGTAGGTGCTTCAGCAAAAAACAATCCACTTGGGTTCATAGATTCTTAGAATATAAAAACTGCAAACAATGAGAATGACCTTTATATTTTTTATAAAATGTCCTCAAGTCTCAAACACTTAAATAATGATGGCATAGCCATTAAAAATAGAATTTTTTGAGCAAGACTGCCTGAATTTGAATCCCAGCCCTGCTAATTACCATCTATGTGACTTTGGATAAGTTATTAAAGCTTCTCGAAGCCTCAGTTTCTTTATTTGCAAAATTGTAGATGATAACAGAACCCACCTCTGGTGCCACTTAGGAATATTCTACTCTTTACTATATATCCCAAAGAAATATATACACAGTCCATAAAGGAGACATATGAAGATGCAACAGCAGTAAGGAGTTTGATACCAATGCAGCCTGGCTATCCACTGCTAGAACCAGGAATGTGTTCCTGTGGTGGATATACACCACGGTGTATCATGCCACAATTGGAAATCATAGATTACATAAACCCATAGTAATGTGGGGAGGTCTTTAAACATAGTGCTTCCATCAGAACCATTTTTTTTAAGTCAGAAACAAAATGAAATATAACACAACACCATTTAATCTTTTAAAAATATACATATGCAAAGCCATAATGTACTTTTCTTAACAGTATATGCAAAGGAAAAGATATGCACTACACAAAATGATTGGTTACTTATAGGGGAGGTGCATGAACATGGGGTAAACCAACAAAAGAGAATAAAGTAATTAACGTAAGGAAAGGGTCTTGCATGAAGAATTGATGGTAATATACAATGAATTGAGAAGTTTGACTCACTCTACCTCTGTGCCTGAGATTCTATTGAAAAAGATAGATAAATAAATAAACACAACTCCCTCCTTCACAGAGTTACTATAGGACAAAATGAGATACTATGGGGTGAAAAGTTCAGCCCAGTGCCTGGTATCAAGTACATGCTAAATAAATGGCAACTGTATTGTTTTGAACCACCCTGTGGTTTCACAATATTAAAGAAAGAGATCAGGTGAGAGATAATGAGATTTAAAATACAGTCTCTTATGCCTCCTTAAGTTTTAGAGTGAAGAGCATCAACAACAGCTGCCTCCTTTTATTCATGCTATAATTTTCCCAGTTAGCTCATAAAAATTAAGAGCTGACTGTAACAAGAACAATTTGAGTTCTGAAAGCAGAAGTCCTGCCTTCAGTTTTGGTTTGTACCATATGATACAGAGTATCCACCAAAATGTGGTCATATAAGAATGGTTATTTATGAGCTTCCCCAAGGTTCATGGGTTCTAGAGACTCTTATTTTATTATTCAGCTTCCAGAAAACTTGGGGAAATGGACCTAAGGTCAAATACCATGATCTTTATAAGAAAAACTGACAGGGAGAATAATTCAGTGACTGTTCAATATTTCAAGGCAAGTAATTGGTAGTACCATGGCCAAAATCTCCAGTGTTCTCACAATATCTTTATGGAGTGGCCAGGCTCTCCTGAAAGGCCTGTTGTGTGAATAGTCATCATCATGATGAACCAACCCTCTCTCCCCAGGGATTATTGTGTTTACCGAGTACAATAGTGCTATTCTAGTGCTATTTACTGAGCACTTACTGAAGTCAGGCAATGTATTAGTTCTTACAGTCCTTGCAACACTGTTGAGACAGACTCAGAAACTTAACTTAAGCTTGCTTAGTCAGTAAGTGGAAATGGGAAGCAAGGATCTGAACCCAGATCTAACTGACTCCACTGTTTCTTCATCTATACAATGATGTAGTAGAAAAAATGATTGCTGAAGTCTCTTCTGTTTAATATTAGCAACATCAATAATAGCCAATCTTATTCTTTCTAATTAATAATAAGACAACTAGCTATATATGTTAGTCTACTATAAGACATTCAGTGCCCATAAGTATTATCATCACCATATTATACATAAGGAAATAGAGTTCAGAGCAGCAAGTATGTTAATAAAGGTCACTTACCTAATATAACTAAGTCCAAACCCTGGGTTCTAACTCCACTAGAGCCATTTACTTCATTTCCTACACCATTTGTACTTTTCCTCCTTTTGAATAATAAAAGCCACCATTTGTTGAATGCTTACTATGTGCCTGGCACTAGCTGAACACTTTACATATATTAGCCTTTCTGCTTCTCCACTACACGGGGAGAGAGGTCAGCTAAATCTTTTCTACCATCTCCGCCTGGCATCTGTTAATTCCCTTACTGGAATCCACACCTGACTCTCCACACAAGGAATCATTATTTTGTTTGTAAGTACACGACACATTCATTGGACTCTATTCTACTAGTGGATGTAGATACTATGCCTTGGAAGGTAGACAGCCATGCTCAGATACCTCTATCTTGCACTTCCTCTTCTACTGCAAAGTCAGGAAGCTTAACTACCACTTAGGAATCAATTGCCTATCTATACCTGCATTCCTGTACCTGAGCATGATACCACTTATCGAGCTATCCTATCTCAACTCTAGTCAGCTCAGCAACTGAGGTGGGACTCTGCAGACCCCATTTTGGCTTTGCCAGCTACTCCTTGCGATAGAGAGACTGCCAGACCAGATGAGGGACAAGGGACAAACTCCTTTTATCTACTTCCTGTTCGTCTTGGCTAACCTAGCAACTGCTACTTGCCCCCAGAAACAACAGTTGGTTCCTGTTTGCAGTTTACCCAGTGCTTGCAAAAAATGGTCTTATGGCAGCCCTTTGACACCAGGACCAGCTGAGCAGTACTCCTTCTCAACTTGCTGAAGTTCAGTTCAGCAGAACCTCCCTCCAAGTTTTTAACATGGAATCATTCCAGTCTTTTCCCTTTGTTCTATCAACGCTAGGAGTGGTCCTTTTCTGCAATTGCTATCCCTATATACTTCAGGGTTCTCAGTTATCTAGTAACAACTGGATACCTATTTGTCAATTCTTCACATTCTAATCAAATTCTTTGTTCAAAATCACCTTGTAGCCGGGCACAGTGGTGCACGCCTATAATCCCAGTAGTTCAGGAGGCTGAGGCAGGAGGACTGTGAATTCAAAGCCAGCCTCAGCAAAAGCAAGGCGCTAAGCAACTCAGTGAGACCCTATCTCTAAATAAAAATACAAAATAGGGCTGGGGAAGTGACTCAGTGGTCAAGTGCCCCTGATCAATCCCCAGTACCAAAAAAAAAAAAAAAAAAAAAAATCACTCTATAGTTTCAACCTCCTGACTAGACCCTGCCTGTTAAGCTTAGTCTCAGTGAGGTGGGAAAAACAGGTTCTGCATAGGTCTCAAGCTCCCAACTTCCCAATTGCTTTCCAATTCAGTCCTCAACTAGATTTCAGCAAAGGGATTTTGAGTACCTGTGCAGTGGTTGATAAAATGGACTTTGATCTAGATCCTGCTGTTATCCCTTAGGCATATAGTTCCCCTGGAAATATCTCCAAGACAAGGAAAGAGGCCAACAGGCCAGGACTGGGCAAACCAACATGAGGCCTCTAAAACCTTACCTGATGCCTAAGAACCCACCTACCTACTGCAGGGCAACACTGCCAGCTCCTCTGGAACAGAAACCTCCAAAAAGTGGTAAGGTATAAAACCCAGATATGACATACCCTACTTGAGGAGATCACTGGCTCCAATAGTCCCAACCCTGCCCAGACAGTCATCTAGATCTTAACTTGTTGGACAGCTTAAATTCACTTCAGGTCTCGTTGCTTCATTATGTAATAGGGCTTGTCCTCCCTGTCACATTAATTCTACACAGGAAAAAAAAAAGCTATTATCATATGCATCCCAAGAGAAGCAACAACATAGGTTTAATAAGTTGTCTGGCCAATTGTATGTGCTTAGCACAGGTGGTTTCTCTATTACTAAGCTGTTTTTGTTTTTGGGGGGTTTTTTGCTGTATTTTTTAGTAGATTATTTTCTCCAGTGGCAATCATTGTATTTTGCAAGAAATTAAATATCCAGGTAAGGAGTTAGTAAATAAGATAAATAATACTTTCAGAGTCCTCGCTTTATGCCCGACACCATGCTTGGTGTTTTATGTGGATCATTTAATTCAAATTTTTAATTTAATATTCCCAACAATTTTATGAAGTATCATTAGCCTTATTTCACAGATAAGGAAACTGAGTCCTAGAAATAATTTGCTTGGGATTACATTGCTCATCAATGAGAGAATGTAGAGTCAAATCTAGATCTCTAATTCCAGAACTTGGGCTCATAAACACTGTGTTATACAACCCACCAAGACATTTGAAATAAGCCATAAAAAAATGAGGCAGTACCACCTTCACCACTTGATATTCTATATGGTCACATGTTCATGTGTTCACTGTCTATCTTCTACTATTAGCTATGAGAATAGGAACTTTGTTTTGTCCACTGCTACATCCCCAGTACCTGGGAAAAGGCCTGGCATTGGATATTTGTTGGACAAACAAACATATGAATACCTTCCAGTACTGTTGTAATAGTACATAACAATATATTAGTAATGTGTTGACACAGGTATTACTAATATATTAATTGATTGATATAAAATGCTTAATACATTGCTTGACATATAGGAAGCACTCAATGAATTGACAGATACTTCTTTTTAAAAATTGTCTCTCTCCAGGATAACAAAGTCTAGAGCCCCAAAGAGTTCCTAATTACACATACCATTTCATTAGAAATTTTACAATCTGACATGGAAAAACAGGCTACTGAGCGCAAGAAGAGCCACGCCAACCAGCACAGGATTTATTCCTTTATAGTCCACAGTCTTTACTCAGATGCCACCTTCTCAGTGAAGCCTTTCTAAGCATCCTTTTTGAAATGGCACTCCTCCTACCATCACCAGTCTCTTTGTTGTTTGTTTTCTAATCCACAGCACTTAACACCACCTGATAATTTATATATTTTACTTATTTGTTATAGTCTGTCTTCTCCCATAGAA